AGCTTATGGCTAGTCAGTCCAACTTTGTATTCACTCCGAATAAGTAGAATATCGAAAACCGGAATGGCTTTGGAGCTTTTTGCGAACAGGACCCGGGACTCGGGTCGTTTTTTGAAAGATAATAAGCAGCCTAAGGCTACTATGTATGTGACAGTGGACGGGGGTATTTTGTGTAAATAGCGTCAAATAGCGCCGGCGCACGGTAAACCTTAGACCAAACCTCGTCAACTAAGTTTTTCTGCACCATCCGTCCACTTGCACTAAACCGTACTATGACAGAGCACTTGACAAAGCGGTGGCCAAAATCCAACAGGAATGAAAAAAAATGAACAAATAAAAACAAGGCTATGCTCACCTTTATGCATTCCTGTAAGCTTGTTTGCTTACGATTGGTAAGCTTCAGATTTGTCCAGACCAGAGTAAGAAACACTCACTTTTTTCTTTTACAATTCTGAATGGAACCTAGATGCATGGCGCATCCCAAGAAGAGCTTGATCAATGCTCTATGAGTTGGTCTTTTTATTTTGACATTTCTAAAAAAGACATTCACTTGAAGCGCGCATTAGTTATAACGAGTTATCGCTGTTACACAACAGTTCCCAAGAATTTGCTCCTTTCAGTCATACTTCGCCAATGCTGGGATGTTGTGCAATCACGCATCGAATCAATGGGGGATGATTTCCGGCGAGCAGTACCTCTACAAAATCTGCACCCCAATCGGACACCGACCTTATCCTGGCACGACTTTGTCGTTCATCCGAGACTCGGATCAGACACTGTTCGTCGACCGACAGTATAACAACAACGACCTTTCGTAAGTATTCCTGTTTATCCTTTGGCCAGTTATCAATAGTAGTTTATGGCTCAATAGGTCCAAAAATGACCAATGAATGCATATGTTTATGGTACAGTGGGACCGCGCGCGGTTGCGATGCGACGCTTTCTCCAAAGGCCGTTTGCAGCAATACCTGGCCGGTGGTGAAGCCCTCAAAACTCTAGTACTCTACTCCGGGTGACGACGCATTATAAAAATAGTGGGATGCGTACAGGGAAGCAGAGTTTTGAGGACCCATTCCCTAAGGCGCTTTGAGGGCTAAGCGCTGCTGCACCCCGCCCCAGAAGAGCACGGCTTCAACTCAATATGTAGAGGGTAGCGAATCTTGCAATTCGAGAAATAATTAAAGGCAAAGTTCGGGCTCAGACCCACTTAATGAGCCTTTACGGTGGCTAGAAGCGCTAGGTACGCAAGTGCAGAGGTCGCGTCACTTCCCTACTTCGAAAAGCGTTACTTAGACGCTAGGCGCTAAGAACTTTGACACGCTCCACCTGTTGCGACACGCTCCGCCCACCGCTCGATATCTTGTCTGCGTCGCTAACTTGATCTGCTATGCTCTCTCTACTCGACTTCTCTAGCGCTCTCCGCGCTCACATTATCTCTCATCTCCCTGCCGGCCTTTTGAACTTCTCCGCAGCGTAGAGCAAAAGGCTCGTATTTCCTGTGTATTTCACAATTTTTTTTCTTTTTTCTCCAGTGGTCCACCTCCTACCCCTACTTCACATTTGAGTGGATATTCTTCAATTTGGACTTCTGAATCTATGCTTAACGTTCCAGCATGCGTAGAGTTAAATTAATTTGTTTGTTTCGCAAAAAACTCGCTTAAAGAACCACCACACGTTGCATTCTCAGTGCAATTAAGTATATAATTAATTCATAGAGAAATGAGATATTTGTTTTGTATTTGTTCCCAAAAAATTAAGATGCCCATCAATTATTTGTGGCGTTTTTTGAAAGTTCGCAAGTAAAAGCGGTCGTTAAATTGCAAATGTTAGGGAACTTCGCGAACATATCTAGACCGCGACGCCGACCAGCCACGCAGGACCCGAGCGTTCGACATCCGCTCGGTTGTATCGTACGGGTAGTTCTGCTTGGAACGGTTTCCACACGTTTTTCCTCCCGAATGACAAGGCATTCGCTAAGGTGCGTAGCTGAAACCTTCATGGATGGATGGGGGCATGCTCAGATCTTATACAGAATTTTTCCAGGTTATCGATCGGCAGCGAATCGACCGTGAAGTTCTGCTAGCACATGTGACCGGGATGAATCGTGTACTGTTCACTTACGCATGGATGTACGACGGTGGCATTCATTACTATCCGTCTGTTAGGTAATAGTTTTAAAACCGAATATATAAGAAATGCAAATATAACAATATGATATAGATGAATTCACTTTATCACTGCAGAAATTCTGTAGCTAGTAGTCTTATCGAGAACGATTAAACGGGCAAAAAAACAGGCGGCGAACAGTATACGTAGACGAACGAAACGAAGATCAGAACCAAACTCATTGGGATCTTCCCAGGCTAATTATAGATGTCTGTATAGATCTGTCGACTGTAATGATGTTTACATGGATTGATTTCGGTACCGTTATGTTTGAAGAGAAAACCTTTAGTAACACTTTCCAAATATGGCTATTTGTTATTGTCAGAGACCCTTAAAGCAACAGTCCCAGCAGGGTGGGCGTGGTCGGAAACGACTGCAATCCCCTCGGCCGATTCCGACCACGCCCACTTCAGCTCCCTCCCTAGCGGCTTTCCAAGGTGAGTTTTTGTTCAGTCACACTTCTTACGTTCTTGACTAGGGGCTGAACAGCTCCGAAGTGGGAATCGGCCGAGGGGATTGCAGCCGTTTCCGACCACGCCCACCCTGCTGGGACTGTTGCTTTAAACAAAATTACCCCATTTTTATGTTGGTCGTCTCAAAGAGGTTGTTTTTATACGTTCATATTGAAGATCAAGAACAAACTATATTTAAAATGCACACCACTTATTTCACTTATCTGAATGGAGCACTTCACGCCGATGCCAACAGTGTATCCTTCGGCAAATGGCCGATTTTGAAAGGAAGCTGGATTCTTGGCGCGACATCTATGAAACCGATCATTACTAACTATTGGGATATGTACCGAGTATCGATATTAACATATTGACCAGATGTTCAGATTTTCTTCGAATATTATCGAGGACAATTTCAAGCTGAAGCTCTCGATGCGAAACATTACAGATCGACGGACGGGACGATGGGATCGTGAGTTGGCTCTTTCTTCGAATGTTTTAACACTTTAACCCGCCCATTTGAGACTAAACTTTCAAGTGATATACATAGATCTGACCCAATTATGATCAATGTCCATATTTTTCCGTACGCATGCTCCAGAAAAGCAGATAAAAGCGAAGAGATAAGACCTTCCGGGAGTTGTCAATTAAAGGCAGCGATTACGATAAATTCAAGAAGGGTTAGTGTGACGTGGTGGTGCTCAATGGTACGCCAGTAGCGAAAAAAGCAGAAAAATCCGTCAAGAAAACGCAAAACGGGACCCCTTTTTGGCCGTTGGTTTTCACTCATGAACAGGTAACAGCTCAGAAAGTGGAGTATGAACGAGTTCACCGCAACGCGTTTGATGG